ACACCCAAGTGGCTCAGGAGTCCCCAGGAGTGAAGTTGGGGGTCACCACGGGCAAAGGGCATGGGACTCACCGGGGGTCGAAGTCAGCCAGGGTCTTGAGGGAGTCGGGGGCGCGGATGAGCTTGTCGAGGATGCTGACGATGTCCGCGAACTTGGGGCGCCGGGCGCGGTCCTGCTGCCAGCACTGCATCATGAGCTGATAGATGGCCGAGGGGCAATCCATGGGCGTGGGCAGCCGGAAGCCATCGTTGATGGCTTTCATCACCTGGGTGGCAAAGGAGGGTCAGGGTGGCCACGGCAGGAAGCCACCGCAGCCTGGGGCACAGACCCCCGGCAGCCCCCCACCCCCGTAGGGCAGCCACACTGTGCCCCCTGGGGCCCAGCCTCCCTCTGGACTTCCCTTGGTGGAGGTGCTCCTCCTCATCATGCCCTGGATCAGAAACCTGGCACCGGGACACACACACATGCAAACACACGTGCACCCTCTCACACACACACGTGTGCACACACACCCACTTCCTGCTTCCTCGGCTCTGTACCCACTGGACTGTAGGCAGGGACCAGGGCCTGGCGCCCAGCATGAGCCCTGGCACAGCCCCAGCCTCCCTCCCTCCTCTGCCTGTGCCCTAGGATTTGGGGACATCCAGAGGGTTGGGGTCCATTCAGCCTGGGAAGGGCCCCCACCTCATGGTTGGACAGCTCCCAGTAGGGCCGCTCGCCGTAGGCCATGACCTCCCACATGACAATGCCGTAGCTCCACACGTCGCTGGCCGAGGTGAACTTGCGGTAGGAGATGGCCTCGGGGGCCGTCCACCGGATCGGGATCTTGCCACCCTGCAGAGGACAGGCCCAGTCACTGCTGTCCCTCTGGCCAGGCCTCTGGGGCAGCGTGAAGGCTGCTTCACCCCCGCCCCCCAGCCCCCACAGTGACGGCCCCTCTCCCAGCTCACACTGGTGGTGTAGGTGGCCTCGGGGTCATCCTCCAGCACGCGGGACAGGCCAAAGTCGGACACCTTGCAGACCAGGTTGCTGTTGACCAAGATGTTGCGGGCAGCCAGGTCACGGTGGACGTAGTTCATGTTGGCCAGGTACTTCATGCCCGACGCGATGCCCCGCAGCATGCCCACCAGCTGCAGCACGCTGAACTCGCCGTCCTTCTCCTGCCCAGGCACAGGCCCTCAGCTCCATGTGGCCCTGAGCCACCAGGGCACCTCCCCCCCGCATCCCGGCTCAGCATCCGCGCCCGCCACTGCCCACGTCCTTACCCGGAGGAACTTGTCGAGGGCCCCGTTCTCCATGTACTCCGTGATGATCATCATGGGTTTGTCTGCGGGGTGTGGGCACAGGGGTGAGAGGCAGGCAGGCCAGATGGGTGGGCCAGGTGGGCAGGCTAGGGTCAGGTGGCCCTGAGGCAGTCCCTCTGCCCCCACCCTGTGTCAGGCCCCTAGGGTCCCCCAAGTCTCACATTTAGAGACCACGCCCTCCAGACGGATGATATTGTGGTGGCTGAACTGGCCCATGATGCTGGCCTCGCTCAGGAAGTCCACGCGCTGCTTCTCTGTGTAGCCTGCCTTCAGGGTCTTGATGGCCACGGGCACCTCTTTCTTCCCCGAGGACGCCTTCAGGGTCCCCTTGTACACCTCCCCAAACTCTCCTGTGGGTGGGCAAGGTAGGGGACCTCCTGGTCAGCCTGGGCGCCAAAGGGCCCCACCCGAATCACCCATTGCCCGCCTCCCCTGGTGACAGGTGTGCCAGCTGACCTGCTCCGATCACCTTCTGCCGGGTGACACAGGACGGGTGGATCTCCGTGGTGAACTTGAGCACAGCCTGATTGGGGTCTTCATATGTGTGAGGGTCCACGTACGTCTTCAGGGGCTTCAGCTGCTCTGGAAGGGGAGAGAAGGGGCGGGGTCACAGAATGCCCGGGAGGCCAAGTCCCTAAAGGAGAAGGGAGACGCCACGTGACCAGGGACCTGGGGGACAGGCCAGGCCTGGGGCACAGGCCTTCTGGAAGAGCCCTTAGAGCTGCCGGATGATGCCTCTGTGTCCACCCAGAGCCCTGGGACGCCCTGGCTGCCCTCAGCTCCGCACAGAGCTGAGGGGGTGTCCTGGGGAGGGGACAGGCCGGCTCGGGGCGGGCTGCATCTCACCTGACTTGGAGAAGTAGACGTCCTCTGCGGACTGGCGAGCGCGCAGACTCCTCCTCCTGAAAGAACCCACAGAGACCCAGATACACAAGGTCAGCGAGGCCTGCCTGGGCCGGGGGAGCCCCCTGCGGGCACTGGGCGTGGGGAACCAGAGGAAATGAGCCAGTCGGGACTCACACTTTGGGATCCACGCCCCATAATGGCCCCGTAAGTGGCCATAACAAGGGCTTCTCTCATTAGGGCTGCCAGGCCTCCTGCAGGGTGGCTACCCACCGTGTCCTGAGCCCCCCGTGGTGCCAGGCACCTGCCTGGCGTGTCTGGCTCGGCACACCTTCACGTCACCCAGGAGCTGGGGACTGCACGGCACTGGACTAGATCAGCCTCAGCCCCACTCCTCAGAGGAGGAAACTGAAGTTCCTGCCCCGAGTCCTCCCCCAGCCCTCAGGGACCTGGGTGTGGGCTCTGACCAACCTGCGGTGGATGAAGAAGCCGATTCCTGCCAGCACCAGAAGCAAGAAGACGCCAACAGCCACACCGCTAATCACTGCCATGTTGCTAGAACCTTCTGTGGCTGCAGGAAAGACCAGCTGATGACAGGGGGCCCCCCCACCCAAATCATGCAAACTCCCCTGCTGCACCCAAGACCCACTGCAGGCACCGAGGACACCTGGGGTCTCCATGTGCTGGCCGCAAGAGTGATCCTGAGGCCCCTGAGGACATGTTCTTCCCTCCCATGGACAGCTAGCGCGGGGCCTCCCCAGGGCCTTGTGGCAGGGACTCCCCTGCATGGGGACTCAGCTCTGGTGCACAATCTGAACTCAGGTCTCCAACGCCGGAGCCCACAGCCTGAATGCACCTCCCTGGTCCTCCACGCCCCAACCTCAATTTTGCCCTCTCCCACTGGGAGACAGCCCATGCAGGGCTGTCCCAGGCTCCAGCTGACCAGGAGACACGAGTTTCTCACCTCTTGGATCCACCCCCCAACCCATGTCCTGATGGCTTGGTTTCAGAGCCTTGGTCTGGCACGTGCCCAGGGCCCCCGACTCACACAGCGTCTGGAACTCGTGCACCTTGCTACCAGCCCCCTGGCCCTCCTGCGTCAGCGCCTGCACCTGGACCAGGTAGGTGGTGTCAGGAACCAGGTCATCCAGGGTCACAGAGAAGCCCTCAGTGCGGCGCACATTGTAGCTGTTGGAGTCCCCCTGTGGGTGGCAGGCAGGCAGGGAGCAGGCCATGAGGCCACCGCAGGACCTCCGCTCAACACCCCAAGACACCCGGCCACCCGGAGGCCCTGCCTTCCCTCCCTGACCGCGGCTTCCAGGATCTAGAGCACGTCTACACATCTCTGCTGAGCGGCCCTGAGAGACCCCAGACCTGCTTCCCAGCTGCAGAGGGGAGTCCCTCCAGATGGCGTGGGTGTGGACGTCTACGTGACCAGCCCACCCCGTCCTAGCGCGGACCCTCAGTGGGTTACCTTCTTGCGGTAGGTGACCTCGTACTTCCACACTCGGCTCTGCTGTGGCGGGGGGATGCTCCAGGTGACGCTGAGTGACGTGGTGCTGCGGCCCTCCAGCCTCACCTTGGGGGGCTCTGGGCAGGCAGAGAGTGGGAAAGGGGGTGAGGAGCCACCGGGGGACAGGGGACAGAGAACCAGCAGGCCCAGGACCAGCTGCCCCCAAAGCCCAGGCTCCCAGACCCCACCCTGCGTCCTTAAAGGCAAGCTCCAGAGCAGATCACAGAGCCCCAGGCCCCACCCCAGGGGCTGGCACAGAAGTGCCCTCTGAGCATTTAGTACACAAATAATAAAAATTAAATAACCGCTGTGAACCAAGCTCTGCTCTAAGAGCCTTGAAGATAATAGTTGTTCAATCCTTTCAATCATCATTATCACGCCCAATTCACACATGAGAAAACCTAGGCCCAGAGAGGCTAAGTAACTTGCCCACGGTCACAGAGCTTGGAAGTGGCTCCAGAGACAGTGTTTTAAACTTCTTGTCCTGCTGCCTATCTCTGGAACGCAGCTGAGCCCTGGGTGGCTGTCCTCTGCCACCTGGGCAGGCTCCCCCAGGGCACAGCCACCACCCCTGGGACTCACCTGTCTGGTTGATGCTGACACTGGCCGTGCGGAAGCTGCGGCTGGTCACAAGGTCCGAGACACCATTGCGGGCCTCGACGGCAAAGGTGTAGTTCATGTGGGGCTCCAGGTCGCTGACCGTCACGCTGGTCCGCTTCAGCGCGTGGGGGGGCTCTGAGTAGCGCACGCTGGCCTCGCAGGGCCCGCACTGGCCGGACTCCGGCCAGCACTGTTCACAGGTGACACTGTAGACGATGTCGTCGCGGCCCCCGCTGTCCTGGGGTGGTGTCCACCGCAGCTCCACGTTGGCGCCCATGCCCACGGCGGTGAGGTAGTGGGGGGCGGAGGGCGGGCCTGCGGAGGGGGCAGCTGGCGTCAGCCCCGGTCACCCCGGCCCACCCGCCCTCCCCGGCCGGCCGGAGGACTCACGTGTGCAGGGCATGGACAGCGGGTCCTCGGGTGCCCGGAAGTAGCCCTCCTCGCACTCGCAGGAGCTGGCACCCTCGGGGGACGGCAGCGTGTGTGCCGGGCACGGCAAGCAGGGTCTCTCGGAGGCCTCGGGCTTGAAGAATCCCGGTGAACAGGCTGATGGCACAGGGACAGAGGGCACAAGGACATCAGCCGGATGTGTCCCTCCCCACGGGTCCCCCTCCACCCCTCCTTCCCGGACCTGTTTTCTCAAAATGTCTTTGGATGAGAAGAAACGTGCCAGCACCCGGTGTGGGGGATACTAGCAGGAGCCTGGCTTGTGTCCCCAAACCTTGGCACAGTCCCCACCAACTCAGGAGGTGCCACACCCTGTGCTGGCATCCAAGGTCCATGGCGGTGCCCTAAGAACCCTGCCACGTGCTGGCTCAGCACCTCGCAGCACACTGCCCGCCTGACTCGTCACCCCTGATAGGCACAACCAGACGGTCACCGCCCGCCCGCCACCAGGCAGCTCCGAGCTGACCAGGGAAGCAACTGCATCCGCTTCTCCATCGTGTCTGTTGACGGACCGTGACCACCACCCGCCTGACCAGCAGGCCTCCATGGCTCAGGATGCCACTCCTCAGGGGCTCCCCCGACCCAGGACCCGGCCACCTTGACCTGTTTCCAGGGCCGAGTCATTTCCACCGCTCACAGGGCAGTCAGGAAGCAGCTCTTCCTCCCCCAGTGGCGCCTCCATCCTGGCCCAGCTGGCCGGGGGCTCCTGCACCTGACCGAGGGCTTCTTCCTCCCACTG